GATCCAGAGCTGCTTTAGACATAGCATAATATGCATTCATGGCATACTGCAAGTATACTGTAAGTTTATGAACATCGGAATAACTAGAAGAATGGGTTCATACTGAGCTAGGCTGTCCGGCAATACTGGAAACATTGATGATTTCACCTTTGGATTTTACAAGATGTGGTCGAGCCAGCTTGATCGTGTCGACTACGCTGAAGCTTTCAGAATTCGATTTAAAGTTTTGTTTTAAAGATCACAGAATGCTTTTACCTGTACAAATTTATTTTCATGGTCTTCTCCAAAATATCAGTACCACCCGCAAGCCCTAGTTGTCCGTTTTCGCCAAGGAAAGCTGCGCCAGCATTATTAACCTAAACAGGAATGACTCTAAACTTAGGATTTTTTGGAAATCCAACTAACCAAAATGTCCAAACGTCCAAATTTTTGAATAGTACTGGATACGATTTGTTCTCTTCCATGTCCGTCCGTCACATCTGCCACAACGATGTTCACGTCGTCCTCATTTGCACCAGCGTCAATCATGGCTTTCTTGGTAGCCTGACACAAAGTATACATTCACGCTAGTGTGACTACAGTAATCCTTACCTCAAGTCCATCTTGTTTTCTTCCCGTGATAGTCACTTTTGCACCTTCCTTAGCGAACAATATAGCCGTTCCAGCTCCTATGCCGGAGGATGAACCTGAAAGAATGAGAATAAAGGGCGTACGATCATGTGCTTTTGGCCCTTATTGTTGATGAGGACGTATTCTTACTATGATGTGCATTTGCACAATTTACAGAATGGGGCACCATATGGGCCGAGTATTGTTTTCTAGCGTTTCTGTTGATTTCTTTTGCGTGACTACTTCTGTACTTCTTTCCTAGAAACCTGCGTTCCATCGCCAATATCTTTGGAAAATGTGCAATTGCACACTTCAGCAAAATCATGCTCGAAGTATTTGGGACCAATGATTAGTGCAGCACGAAATTTATACAGCCAAAATCGCCGTGAGGTCACCGAATTTACCGTATACATATCATAATGATGCCGCATATGCGGAAGTACATTGATAATTTTGTGTGAGAAGATATCGGCAATGATTGAAGAGTAAAAAATATAATTAATTTTATACCTGTGACAATGGCAACCTTGCCTGAAAAACGTGGCATGGTTCTAGCAAACTAGACGGTGAAATAAACTTGGCGCCTTGAGTAAACGAACCAGTGGCGAGCCCCGACGAAGTGCTGCTCGTAGACCAAGGATTACACCGATTTTTGTCATCCTGTCTTTGTGTAGGATTCAGTTGCGGTGTGTACTTTGGCAGCAAGGAGTGCTGTGCTAGAAAGGTGCTAAACCAGAGAAAAGTTCAGAAGATCTCACTATTGAATGGAGCGCTTTGGGAAAAAAGGAGATTACTAGACGGATTTGATGCTTTAGAGGAAGTGTCCCGGCAATCTGAGTTGCAGGAATAGCCACAGTTGGATAGTAGACCTATCTATAGGACTCCTGGCCAAATGCGCATCCAATCTTATCCGGTGTTTGCAGAGGAAACGCCTTCTGAATCGGCGCCGAGCCTCGTTGTCAGTTTGGCGCGCAACATCTGACAACATCGGTGACTCAGTCTGCGCAGGACGCATACCGCACTTCGCCGCCATCCCTATGCTGCTCAGTGCAAGATTTACCGGCGCCAAAGTTCTCGCACTAACCTTTCCGATTCAAAGCTAAGCTCTCGTCCAAGCCCACTTTTAAAAGTGAGAAGATTAGGCGTAGGCC